GTGTGTGTGTGTGTGTGTGTGTGTGTGTGTGTGTGTGTGTGTGTGTGTCTCCCCGGAATGCGCCCTGAATGTCAGTCTGGAACATGCTGTCACATGCTGGTCCCGCAGCTCACAGCTCAGGCTGGGGCTGGGTGGAGTCACCACCACAGCAGCGGGAACTACTGGGCTAAGAGCTCTGCCTCCCAGACCAAGGGGTTCTCTGCACATTTATTAAGCACCTATTATTGCCTGGTAGTCACTTTTTATTCATTTGCAGGATACAGAAAAGAATCAGAAAGTGATGTTTACTAGAATCAGTTGTCTGTATAGCAGATGTGGTCTCATGGGGCAAGGAGGTGCCCAGGGAGAGGGATGGGGTTACTGTGGCCACAGTCTCCTGTGTAGCTGAACTTGAAGGAAAAGGCCACAAGACCATCTTACCCAATCCCCTGCCTCCAAGCCTTTACAGGCAAGGATTTCTCTGTTTGACAAATCTCCAGGAAAAGAGATTCTCCGGCCTCCCTTACATGACTACTCTTTTCTCCTTATTCTAGCACTGGTAAATTCCTTCTGGAGTCTAGCCTCAGTTTGCATCCCTGTGGTTTAAACTCATTTCTCTTGCCCGAAGTTCTGAAACAGAGTCCTTAGGACCCCAAGAACACATATGGTTGATTCAACCTTGCAGCTTTCTGGGGGCCTCAGAGTAAAGAAGGAAAGAGCAGCAGGTGGCCCCTCCCAAGTCATCCCAGAGACAAGAGCTACTGGCAAATAGAGGTTCAACGAGGGGAGCGGGTGGGGGGTGGGGAGGTGCTTCCTGGGGAAGGTGAAAAGGCAGCCAGGCTGCCCTCCTCTGCTCACCTTCCTTCCTCTCATCCCCTATGAGGCCTCTGGGCCATAAAAGGAGGTGCATGAGTTTCTGTTGTGTGTTCACAATCAGCCCTTTCTCTATGGGGTCCCTTTTCCCAGACAGTGGCAGGCAGACATATAGATCTGCACACACTACATGCACACACACACACACACAAACTTCCTTGCTCACACCTTAGGGATATACACTCAGGGACACAGGTCCAGATACACAGATGCTGGCCATGTCAGCGCTCTCTCCCCAGCACACTCAGATACACACACACATACCCTTCTTCCCTCCTCTGCAGCCTAAGGGGGGATGCCCACCTCCATATGGGTAGGCCTGGTGAACAGATGCGATGCTAAACTTCAGGCTGATGCTGGTCCCTTTTCAGCACACAGCCGCTCTCCCCTGGCGTTTGAGCAGTGGGGAAGGAACACAGACAAACAGAAGTCATTCCCGGTGGCAGACAGGGCAGAGCCAGCCTTCGACTCAGGAAGGGGGCCTCTGTCCTGGCTCCTGCCCTTAAGAAGGCCCCTGCTCTATTCCCCTGGGGTTGTGCCCCTCCACACAGGGCCAAGGGCACGAGCCTACACAGAGTTCGTACCTCTCCCCTCGGAGACCACACTCCGGGGATGTGCCCAGCACCAACCCTGCTTTTGGGGCCTGGGGGTCTCTTACTTGGGCTCTTCCTCCTGTTCGGACAGCAGCACCGCTTGGTGTGTGCACACTCAGGCAAAGAGGTGACGAGGGGCAGTTGTGGGAAAGGGACGCACACACCAGGGACACACGAGCTGGGGTGCCTGCATGCATGCTGGAGGCCCTTTGTGGTATGGGGGGAGCCAGGGGTGTGAAGGGGATGGCCCAGGGGCTGGATGCCAGGGAGCAGTTTTCCCCAAGGCCGCCACGTTCTGAGAAGGAGTCAGAATTCTCAATTCCATCTGGCCTTTCAGGTCCCTGTGGAGGTACACTGGTCTAGGTGTCTTATTTAACAGTTAGCTTGACTCATAACTTATTTAGATCTCTGACCGTGGGACTCCGTTTGCACCGCTGCCCCTGCCCACTGGTGCTTGGGTGGGAAGACTTGTTCAGGGGGCCCCCTTCAGGCCTGGGGAGAGGATATTGGTGGCGAAGTGCCTCCCGAACGCTTCTGGCTGGAGTGAGCCCTGGCATCAGCAGGAGCAGGGCAGGATGGTGCAAGGCCCCAGAGGTGAGGGTGGGGGTGCTCTTGCCATTTTTGCCACCCTTTGTCCAGGGGAGGAGCCTCGAGACCAGAGGCTGCCCATGGCCTGGTCCTGTGGGTGTGTGCCTGGCTGGCCTGGGGAGGGCTCTTAATTACAGAGGTAGCTCCAGCCACACTTCACTGCAAGGTGTGTGGGCGGGGATGGAATGTCAAAGGGAAAACAGGGAGACAAGAAAATAGAGATAGAATGGGCCAGAAATAGCACAGGCCAGAGAGAGATACCAGGGGTCCGTGGTGGTGGAGGGGGAGGATGGAGGAGGGTCAGGACTTCTCCAGAGAATGTCTATTCCCCTGGTTGCCCCCACCCCTTACCTACCCTCAACCCCCCAAGGTTCCATCTCAGAGCTTCAGGAGCTCATCAGGGTGGGCCCCAAGCATCAGGATTGTTGGATTCTGGAGCTGAGTCTCTGAGCAACCCCCATCCTGCCCTGAGTGGGCTGAAGGGGATGGTGAGGCCTTGCCATTTGAGTCACTCACTTCCTGCTCCTGGTCTGGGTGACTCCACTCACAGGCTGACACAGCTGGGGCCCACCCACCCTCCAGCCTGCCTGCCCCTCCCTCCCCCAGCAAGCCAGGAGAGATCCCTGTCCCGACAGGCGCCCTTGCCACAGAGAGTCCACCCCTCCCCTGCCCACATGCCAGCCTGTGTGAGATGAGAAACAACTTTGTGAGAAGTCAGCTGGAGGTGTGACTTCAGGCAAACCTCAGGATTAGAGAGCCAGGGCTGGGGCAGGGGCTGGCCGGCCCTCCTCTGGGGTCTAAGTCTGTAACCTCCCCTCACTTCCTCTAAGCCAGGAGGGCACTACACAGACCCACAGGGATCAATTGTGCAAAGAGACTTCCCCCACCTCCTCCCGCCCTCTGGCCTTTCTCCCTGTCCCAGGCTCCACCTCGGTGGGAACTGGTGGGGCCAGGATTTGGAAGCCCCCAGCCTTGTACTTTAATCCCAGATTTCCTAGTCCTGTCCTGCACCCCAGGGGATTTGAGATCTCTGCATATTTCATCAGCACTTCAGCCTCCAGCTGAAGAAGCAGCCAATTTACAGCTCATGGATGATTTATGGCCCTAGCAGAGAACCTGGAAGTGGTGAGGGGGAGGGGCAGGGAGCATGGTGGCAGGTGAAGCCTGAAGCTGGCTGTTGATGAGGGTTGTGAGACGCCAGCTCCTTTCAGTGGGTGTGTTGGGGGCGGGGGAGGAGCTCCAAGGCTAGGAACATTTCCATTTTTGAGGATACCAAGGTATTACCAAAAAAAGGTGGGGGGGGGATTATCAAAATAATTGCACTAAAGGTTAAAGTTACATGACAAGCATTTTCTGACTTCATTCCTTGTCCTGGTATCTCTGTAACTGTGTGCATAACCTCACTTGGAGATAACCAAATTTAATGGGACGTCCTTCATGGCTGTGAAGCCTCCAAAAAACTCCCTGCTCCCTACACCCCCTGGGGCCTGGGAAAGAGGCCAGACTCCCAACTTAGACTGACTAAACCTTGCTCCTTCCTAGCTTCCTCCTCCAGGAAGGCAAGCAGGATTTAGCCAGATGGTCAAGAGAAAAAGATGGAATGGCCACCACTTACTCTGCTCCAGGCATCTAACTTTACACTTTTCTTATTAAAAGAAAGGTGGAAACGGTGACCCAAAATAGAAAATGTCAAGTTCTCTTGGCCTCTTCTTTGCCAAGCAGCCTACCTGAGTGAGTTCTTCCACAGATTTAGAGGATCAAGTATATGTGGGGGGAGGGGTAAACAAGCAGCCAT